GTCCAACACCTTTCTCATGTGGTATACAAGAGTATTAGAATTTACTCTAATTTATCGATGGGTAAGTATTAAATGCGAGTAATGGAATTTGTTGATACTTCCCATCCAGAACAATATTGCCAAGGCAACTCGACTTTTTATTCGTTTTCAACACCTTTCTATTCGTGCGTTGCAATGTTTTTTTTACTTCGAAAAACTTGTAAAAATCGTAATTTTAGATCTATCTAGCTTTCTTTGCAAGATATGGCATATTCCTTGATATTTGGAAATTACGCCATTTCATAAAATCCCGTAAAATTAATATTAACTGTCTGCATCGATCTGCTGTGTGTACAAAATTTTTGTATTAATTTTCTTGAATAAAATAACAATATTAATTAGTGTAAGTGTGTATTGCATCCATACATGCACGCACATGTATACAGTAGACGGTACACACACGAGAGCATACATAGACACATACGCGCATACATACACACACAAACTGTACACTTTTATACACAAGTTACACACACATACATATGTTTGTGCATGTGTGCACATACTACGCACACGGCATTATGCAAACATAATACCATTTACCTATATGTAGCGGAATCTGAAGGCGAATGTTGAGACTCGTACTGGACTACCTATTTTTTTTTAACTAATTGATTCTTTTGGTACCTAATATTCTGAGCACCCCGGATCACTAGGTCGAACAAAGCTTAGCATAACACTCCCGGAGCAGGTTAACTATCTGTTAACATAAAAAATGGATAGTAGTATCGATAGTATCGATATATAATACAATACTATGGCCAGTCTGCGGATAAATGGCATAGTCACGCTAGAGTCTGAGGATGAAAGAAGAAAATAAATTTTGGCAATCTGTGTATACTAAGCAATCATATACTAGGTTGTCACAGTTTTCATGCTGATATTTGTGTTAAAAACCATAGTTCAGCTGACACAATGTAATATTGCATAAGATACACTGTAGTAAGATAGTAATAAGTAGTTTCTTCTTTGGTTAAAATTCGGTAATTAAATATAAAAGTAAACAATGTATGCAGTCACCACGGGATGCTTCTCAAATTCGCCTGTGCGGTGCTATTGTGCTACTTGATTAAAATCATTAAATATAATGCAAACATCAGAGTTGATAGAACATAATGAAGTTTAATAAAGCAAATAAATAAATAAATAATTTTAGAANATCGCACACAGGCATTAAGAGCAGTAGGGGTATGTGTCCCAATCATGGACCCTGACCTTATTATGGCCCCCCATAATACAATTTTTGATAATTTCAAGAAATAATTTGATTGGATTAACTGACAGTTTCCTAAAAATTTCGTAATTATTACTCAGTTTACGATTTACCGTTAGCATGTAGTATAAAAGCATGTAAATATTACTGCAAATTTATCCAATGGATTAAATAGTTACGTCAAGTTTTTTACTGTTCTATGCATCGACTCTTGTTGAAAATTGTAAGAAACTCATCTTTTTGAACAGCTATTGTAAACAATAAAAGAGGTATTTAAGTATAAAAAATTGTTGATTTGTTAAATAAGAGTTAAAAAAAATAATAAAAACAAAATAGGGAATTTAAAAATTTATTTAATAATTATTTTTAGAAGGGCCACAATACCGGCACTATTGACGGCTTTGTCTCTATTATGGCCCCTCGATCTCGCCGCACCTTAACCTTTATGTCAGCAACCACTATCCTACTTATTGTTTTGATCTCAACAGTGCAGTTCTTTATAAAAGCCAAATAATGAGTAAAAATTCAAAAAAGAGATGTAGTTATGATAGTGATAACTTGGAAAAAGCCATAGCTGCAGTACGTGACGGAACACCTTTAAGAACAGCATGCAAATCTTTAAATGTTCCGAGATCGACGGTACGAAACATAATTAAAAATCCGCACGCTAAACCGAAGCCTGGGCCTTCAACAGTATTGACCCCTGAGAAAGAAAAAAGTCTCGTAAATTGGATATTTGAAATGGTGTCACTGGGATGTCCCATTACAAAAGATCAGTTACTTGACAGTGTTGCTATGCTTCTGAAATCTAAAAAAAAGGAAAATCCTTTCACTGATAATAGACCTGGACGTCATTGGTTTGAAGGGTTTAAAAAGAGACATCCCAACCTAAAACAGAGATGGAGTGAAAATGTTTCACTTGCCAGAGCCACAGTAACTGAAGATTCATTGAAAAATTGGCATGAAAATATTGCCAAGTATTTGGACAACTTAGGATTGCAAAATATAGTAGATGGTTCTAGAGTGTTCAACACTGATGAAACATCTGTAATGTTGAACCCAAAAGGTGGTAAGGTTTTAGCAGCCAAAGGTAGCAAAAATGTGTACAAGGTAGTAAATTACAATGAAAAAGAAAATCTTACTGTGCTAGTCACTGCCAGTGCTGCTGGAATAATTGCTCCTACACTTATTCTTTTAAAGTATCAGAGAGTACCTAGTCATATATATGAAAGTCTTCTAAAAGACTTTGTTGTTGCAAATTCAGAATCAGGTTGGATGTCTTCACCGATTTTTTATGAGTATGTGGCAAACAAGTTTTATCCTTTTCTTGTAGAGTCACAAATTGCTTTACCAGTTCTGTTGTTTGTTGATGGCCATGCTTCTCACATAACTCATACACTCAGTACTTTCTGTAATGAGCATGGAATTATTCTCATAGCACTTTTACCAAACACAACTCACATTACTCAACCAATGGATATTGGTTTCTTTTCTCCATTTAAAAGTTATTGGAAAAAAGCTGTAAATAACTATAGAATTGAAGAAAATGCACTGAATGTACCCAAGCATGATGTAGCTATGCTGCTTAGCCAAGTATTTTCAAAAATGAATTTAAAATCAATTTTAAGTAATGCCTTCAAGGTTTGTGGCTTGCATCCCTTTTGCATGTAAAATATTGATGTATCAAAAATATATATTAGATCAGAAAACCAGCAGACTCATGCATGTGAAGATCGGACTGATGAACAAGAATCAAGTAATATAACTCAATCAATACTTATAGATTCAGTAGAAAAGTACATTAGTCCAGATACACTTAAGTTATTCAAAAATCATGCAGAGAGTAAAAGTGAGTGGACTGGCTCTTCAGATGACAAAAAACTCTTTGAATTATGGGTTAATATTTGTGGTGATAAATTTGATTTAAACGCTAGAACTATTATTTCAACTGAAACTGAGGTGAGTTAATTGTAATAAATTAGTCCTAACAATTTCATTTATAATTTACTTACAATTAACAAACATGTATTTACCTAACAGGCTGAAACAAATCTGCAGTCCATTGAATATAATACAATGTGCAACTCTGAAATATTACCACTAAACTTACGTGCAACATTAAATTTTTCCATTGATGGTCAAGGAAACATTTATAATATGACTGAAGGAGTGAGTTATGCTGTTACAAATGAGCAATCACACAGCGGGGAAGTAAGTGCTGTGGTTTCTAATTCAAATGAGCTTTTACTCGTCGATGGAACAAGTTTTGCAGTACTTCATTCAAATGAGCAAGCAGTCATCGATAAAACAAGTACTGCAGCTTCGCATTCAAATGATCTCTTACTCATCGATGAAACAAGTTCTGCAGTACCTGATCCATATGAGCAACCAGTATTCGATGGAACAAGTACTGCAGCTTCTCATCCAAATGAGCTTTTACTCATCAATGAAACAAGTTCTGCAGTACCTGATCCATATGAGCAACCAGTATTCAATGGAACAAGTACTGCAGCTTCTCATCCAAATGAGCTTTTACTCATCGATGAAACAAATGCCGCAGTACCTGATCCACATATCAGTCATCCTTCGATGAAAAAAGTCACACTGTACCTGACCAGAATGACAAGTCACCTGCCAGTGCAGAAAATTATACAGTAGGTGAAACAAGTGAAAATCAATCTTTAATTGCTGATTGTTGTAATGATAAGAAAAATTATTTATTTGGGCCGATGGAGCAGGCTAACTCAAAGAAAAAAAGAAAGATCCAACCAAAATGTCCATCAATAATGTCTTCAAAAGAAGGATTAGAGTGGTTCCAGGAACAGGAAAATAAGAAAAGAAAAATTTCAGAAGAAAAAGAAATGAGAAAAAAAATTAGAGAAGCAGCAGCTGCAGTTAAAAAAGAAAGAGTGGAAGAAATGAAAAAAGAGAAAGCATTGAAAAAAGAGAGAGAGAAATCAAAAAAATTACCTGTTCCTAAACGAACCAAAAAATCTAAACAGTCCTGATACATTTACCATAAATATAAAACTTTTATTACAAATAACAAATTTTATTACAGAATATATTTTTCATGAAATTTATAGGTAAACACTAATAACTACCTTGTTGTGTATTTAAAAAGCATTAAGAACTGATAAATAAATCTAATTTTCAATCGATTGGTATCCAGCCTGCTTCATTTTATTCCAGAAAATCTCAAATACAGAGAAACTAGATAAAAACAGGGTCCATAATAGGGGGGGACAGGGTCCATAATATGGGGGGCCAAAATGTGGACATGGACCATTATAGAGGGAGCCACAATATGTTCGAAATTCCCTGGGAGGGTCTATAAAACAGACAAATTTTTTATTTTTTATTTAATTACTTATAATGAAAAAAAAAACAATTTTTTCACATCGAAAAAAGTGTATTTTGTAAAAAAAAGGTTAAATTATCTATGCGTTACTTTTTCATGGTTTTAATTTATCGACTTGTACGTATAAAATTCAATTGAACCTCGAACTTCACTTAAAGGGGCCATAATTGGGACACATACCCTAATGGGTGGTCAACTTTCTTAAGTATTACATCCAACTTTTTTTTTGCGAAGAGCCCACCCTCCTCCATTACAGTACTTAGAGCCTTAGTTTCAATAAAAAAGTTTTTGATTTTCTTAAGTAACAGTTTTCATTCGGATGAAGCTGTAGTATTATTTATGGCCTCGACATAGCTTAAACAAAAAATTTAAAATTCATCATCTTACCTTTCTCTATGTAATTTTTTGGAACCCATCCAGGGAGATCTTCTTCTTCCGGGACAATAGGCTTGATCGTCCCTGTACATGACACTAATCGGCCAAACTGAGATAGTTCATCTTGATCTGCAGGTGGCGGCGGTGGTAAAGGTGGGCTATTTGTACCATTACGATTTACTTGAGAAATTTTGTGGCTCACTATACTATGAACATTGTAGTCCAAAACGTCTGAATTGATCAAAACCAATGTCGAGGGAGGAGCTGAAATTAAAAAATGATTGTATTAATACTCATTATTTTTATGACTCCAAACTTTTTTCATTTACTCTGCTATAAAAATGATCTTAGCTCTTACTTGTTAAATAATCCATACAATGTCGTAACGTTGCTAAGTAGAGAAACTTTAGCTTATTTTGGAAAAAATTAAATAAAAAATTTAAATGTATTGCATTTAGTTCAATGTATAACACTTCAAGAGTATTTATGTATCCTAAATCCTTACTTTTACCATCTTATTACTTTTTTCCTAATTCTCCTCCTTTTTCACCAAGAAAATTTCACTTAGACAGTTTGGTCATTATTCTTGCTAGATACTATTTTCAGGGGGCAGCATCTGCCTAAGTACACCACAGCTATTCTCAGATTTAATAAAAGGATCTTATTTACCTAATATGCACTGAAATCGACCATGTTTTCGTAATTTTTGAGCAAAATACGAATATTTTAGTTATTCAATCTTCACTCCCGAAATGACAGAATCATTAATTCATAGAATTAAATTAATTAAAATCCTATTAATAGATCGCTATCATGCCACACTGATGAGTTCCAGTTAGTGATCAAGAACGAAACGATTTCCTTCCTCTGTTCTTCTATTCCTTATTTTTTCTTCGAATGCACCACACGCTCTATGATAGAGGCACCAAGTATAAATTTTAGCTGAAAGTTAAACTTAGTTGTCATTTATAAAGTGCGTATGTATGTGTGGGTAGAATCTAATTGGATAGACAGACGCAAATAAATAATTCTGCTTAAATCATCGAGTAAAATGCTAGAGTTAAGTTGATTTAATTTCAGTTATTTAATTTTATATTTCATGAAACTTAAGTGAGATCCATTTCGATATCTCCTTAACACTTTACTTTAGCTTAAGAAGAAAATTTTTAAGCTTCGTACAAAACTGCATCTTATAGAGCACTGTAAAAAGATTCTGTAATTATGATGGTACTGAACAAGCAACGGTACGACAGCTATGTTGAAAAATCGACGAGTGCAAAGGAAAACCTCAAAAAAATCAAACACAAGCTGCTTATCCCAAAAAGCCATTAATGTCATAATACTAAACTACAAAAATTTGCTACAGTAACATAGAACAGCACTACATGCGACTCAAGAAATGCAGATATATCTCATGATTAGGTATTACCAGATGTGCAAGTCATGTGTCCAATTTTACAGTAGAAAAAAAAACACATGAACGCCACTTAAGAAAATATGCTTTTAATGTTGTATATCTTGGGAATTGAATTTTAATATGATTTTTATTTAAATACTGTACCATTTTGTAACTTTTGTATTTTACGTATGGTGAGGTAGGTAAAAACATCAATATTTTTTTAATACTTTGTTTCATTGTTGAAGACAGAAAAGTTTACTTTATTTTTATTATACTTCTCTCCTTTCTTTATTATTAGATTTTCCAATGTTATATCAAATCCATCCAAAACTTTTGCAGTTTTACGTAAATTAACAATTCTTATCATATTTCTAATATTATCCAGTCTTAAACTTTTATTAACGATTTCAAATTCCATGATTTTTTCACATCTTGTAAATATGTGTTCAAAGCCTCTTTCATCACCTTTACAAAATGCGCAGACTCTTTTCTCATTCTATTACCAAAATTTGTTGCTTACATCTAAGTTTTCACACCTCGCTCTAGCTAGATGACTTATCTTTAAGTCTTTACGCTGAGGTAACTGGCTGTGCCTACACGCATAATACCTTTATACCTCGTATCATTTCGCGATTCTTTAATTTTGGGTTTAGAATTTTGGTTGTCCATGTCATTCATGAACTGTATTATCATACCTTTGAAATTTACTTTTTGGTTTTTCCAGATCTCTAGTAAGCGCTCAATAAAACCTAAGCTGCTTCAAAATTCTTTTCTTTCCATTCTGTTTGTACTCAATACTTCTCTTCAAAAGCATCTTTGTAGCGTAACTTTGTGAGCCTATCCTTTCGCTGATTGAAGGTTTGCTGATCAAAATAATCACCCCGAGATCCAAGAGTACCCTTAGCTTTTTGATGCTTATTTCTTCCATTATCAAATATCTTGAACTTTATGCATTGTCACCTTATTTTTCTTAAATCCTGCTTGACTGTCCGGCACAACGTTTTTATGTTTCAGTTCTTTTACTTATATCCCTCTAAGTATCTCTGTGTATATTTTTCGTAAATAGTGAGTAACAACGCGAATTTCTTATAATTGTTTAGCTCGTTTCTGACTCCTTTTTTAGATAATGGTACAATAACTGCCATCTCCCAATCTGCAAGTATTTGCTCACCCTTCCGGTCCTTTATTAGTAGTTTCTTAAGTTTTTTGATTACCCCTATTTCTGCAAAAAAGCATGCCTCATTTGGTATCCCATCGTACCCAGTAGCTTTTTTTTTTTTTGGTTTGCTAATCGCTAGTGCTATTTCAGCCTTACTTAGTTTAACCTTCTTTGACGTTCCCTCTCCCTTTAACACCTTCTTTTTCTGGGTTCGTTCTTTTTCTCTTTTAACAGATTTTGAAAGTGTTCTTCTCATGTAAATAAACTAACATTATTTTCACCGTTCTTTTCTATTATTGTACTTATGTTAAAACCTCCATACATGCGGGTCATTTCTTATACTCATTAAAGCTTCTTTTTTTTATTCTTCGAATTCTACTCCGTATCATAATGGATACGGAGGAGGAGAAACTCACAGATTCATAGTGATAATGGAAGAAAGTCCAGAATATTACAAACAGATAAGAGATAACAACTACAGAGTACTTGTTGAGTATCAAAGTTGTAGAACTATGATACGGTCAATAGTAAAACGTGCTATAATTAATCAAGATTTGATCACAATAGTTTCCAATACAATAATAAAACAGTATGCTTAAAATGCTCCGATAATTATAAAGTTACTAAATGCAGAACTGAAACTCTTAAGTGTATAAACTGTACCTACAGTAATATAAAACATGAAACTGCTTATGACGTCAATCATTAAACAAATAATTCTACAAAGCATGTAATCCTACAAAATGAAATAAAAAAACTAATTGATACAACTGATGATCCCATCGAACATGCAATACCAGCATGGACTGGTAAGAAAGCACAGCGACTCAATAGGATATGTAATCAACCGTTTTTATCGAGATCAACGAATAAACACGCTTATTCAAAACAATGGAGCAAAACGTGAATATGTTTGATGACGTGCTGACGGATATAGTCAAGCCGGAAGTTGTTACTGTGATATTGAGTCTTTTAACGAGGACATAAGTAACAAAGACAAAATATTATACCTTAACATAAGAAGTTTAAATGCAAGTCATGAAAAATTAGAAATCTTTATTGAGAGACTTATTATGAAATCGATTATAATTGTGTACGCTGAGTCATGGATTCTTGAACATTACAAGGGTACAAAGTATAGTATGATTTTAGAAAAATGAATAGAGCTGATAGACTAGTTGTATATATTGAGAACGAAATTAATAAAAACACAGAAATAATTGAAATAGTAAAAATACAAATGATACGTACTCAAATACTGCTTAATAATGGAATAAATATAGATCTAACCTCAATATAAGGATACCATGATTTTGATTGCAATGAATCCAATTTGTGTGTTAAAAAATTTTTACAGAAAATAAAAAATACAAAGAATCACCTGATAATTAGAGATTTCAACATAAATATAGCTGAGTGCAATATGATTGGTGAAGATTTTTAAAATAATCTAACGGGAAATGGATATTATCAAGGTCTTATTGATACAACTAGATCAAAAGATTCCCGTGAAAATAGCTGATATATTTATAATATTTTTACTAAAAATAATAACTTTGAAACAAATACTTTTAAATTA